GGAGGAAAAAACCACAGTACAACTCGTGAGGTGCTCAGAGACAATGCGAATGGGGGCCAGATTAGCTTACCTTACATAGAAAATAAAAATATCACACAATATTTTCTCTATTGAAAAAAAAACACAACAAAACAGATTAGCCTCAAGCAAAATGCAAAACAACTGCAAGAGTGAGACTGAGCGCTCTGGGGTCAGGGACTGTCTTTTTGTTCTGTGTTTGCCCGGAAAATGGCACCGTGGGGCCCCTGGCCAAAGACTGGGGATTCTTGGTGCTACCATTCTATATAGTAATTTAGCTAATGCATAAAGCCCTTATCCTGCAAAGGGGTGGATGTAGTCAGACCCCCTTTGCCCATGAAAAACCCCGCTTCATGTAGGCAAATGCCAGGAGAGGAGCATTCAAATAAGGATGGAAGGTTGAATTTATGTGAATTTTCCTGGCTTGTGCTGGATTTGGGTCACAACTCCTCGAAGTAGCTCAGATTTCATTATTCCGCCAGCTCACAAGAATGGAGCAGCTGGGCATAAGCAGGAAAAGCACCACTGTACATGCATGAATCCTGCAATCCAAATAATATCCAACTAGCAGTGGCCGGTCAAATTTTTAACTTGCTGCTCAATTGTGTGCCTTTAATAGTAAAAGTAATCAGGTGAAAGGATCTAAAAGGGTTCCACCCTCATTGGTTCCGGGTGTGTAATTTATTCTGCCGATGGTGATAGCATTCAGGTCTGATCACAAGTAGCTAAAGAGTTTCCCCCTTAAAAAAAAAAAAACCTCTTGCCTAGGGTAAGATTATCTTGTTATTTACAATATTCCCTACAGAAAATGTTCAGGATACTGTAAATACTGGGGTCAAGCTATTTAGTTATCCGAAGTGATAGGCATAGGCACATTTTTAAGGGCAACAGATTTCCCCCCACTTCGGGGGGGGGAGGGGAGGGAAGGGGAGGAGAGGGGAAACGTGTTCAGGGCGCAATTACTGCAGCCCTTATTTTAAGCACATGTACAGCCGTTTTTGAGCATGCATGAGTGAATCTGAACCAGCCTGCCTACGTTGCAGATAGCAGTATAAGGCCAATATTGCCAAATGCTGATTCAGGACATAACTACAGTAATCTGCAGTGCCCTAACAGAAGATTCCAGCTAGTTTCCACAGCTGGCCTGACTTGTGGCCACCAGGTGTTGCTAGAAGGCTGTGAAGAAGGCCGAAACCACTCCACCAACACCTTGGAAACCTGAGCCTCTTCCCGAGATGAGAAACATGCTACTGCTTTAAGTATAGTTAAAATTAGAGGCAGGGCGAGCTCCTGCGTTTATCTCCCAACATGGGGTCCCCACGAGTATTTCATTACCAGCAGACTGACTGGTTTGGAGTGTTTTAAACCTGATCTGCAGAAAACTCCTACTACAAAATTGTAGTAGGAGTTTTCAGAGACTCACTTCCCTGCAGGGTGGAGAGTGATAAGAACTTGCCAAGCTACACAAAGGCTTCACTCCTTGCACACACCACCTGCAATGCTCTCCTTTTCCACATGGCAAATGTCCCCCACCAGTCCCAGTGTTATGTTCAATCTAGTGGCTCAATCTTAAGACCCTTCCCCTTTCTTGGCATCTCAGGGGCAGCAGGTCACACGGTCACAGACCAGAGATGTGGTTCTACTCTCAATTACACTAGTGTAAATCAGGATTGACTCCAATGAACTCACTGGGGATATGCTGGGATCAAACTGTTCTGAGAGGAAAGTCAAGATGCAAATTCCTAAAGCTAGCAATGATCGTAATAAAACCCCATACCAAATCGCTCAACTAAAAAATTGTCCAGATAATTATACTTGGCTCTTACGTAGCACTTTTCATCAGTGGATCTCAAAGTGGCTTATAAAGGAGGTCAGGATCATGGCTCCTTTATACAGAGGGAGAAACTGAGGCAGAGAGGGGAAATGGCTGGTACAAGGTCATTCAGCATGCCAGTATTAGAATGCAGGTCTCCTGAGCCCCAGTCCAGTGTGCTATCCATGATACCACACTGCCTCCCCTACATCGCTTGGTAATTCTGTACCCCCAGTGTACAGAGGCAACTCCTTGGCCTCACACAACATGGGCAAGCCAGCTCATCAAAGCGTGAGGCACTGCGCTACCCGAAGCTAGCTTTGGATCGATGTGCTTTCCATGGGACTTCTCCTACACACCTGAATCTGAGTTCATTGACACCACTGTCACCCTGGCTGAAATCAAACGGGGTCACTGATGACTTCCACTTGTGGAGCAGAACCTGGTCCCTACCTTCTACGCAGACTTTTTGTGCTCTGAAACTTGTAGGTCATAATTCTGAGCTGTTCATTCTTAAAGAAGAGCTCTGCTCCCATTGACTTCGATAGCAGGCTTGTCTGAAAAGTTGACGGCAAGATATGGCTCCC